TCCACTAACCTACCCTCCCCCAACCCCTTTTCTCTCTCCCCCCATCATCTAATCATCCTTTCTAACTCTACCACTACCCCCCCTCCTCCCACCTCCCTCTTCACTCATCTCCCACCACCTTTTTCTCTCCTCTCCTCCCCACTCACCATCTTTTACTTATCTCATCTCCCACTTCACTCCTCCTTTCTCTCTCACCTATTTCTCTCTTCTTCATCACTCTTTCATCCCCTTGCCCCCCCTTACTTCGAATTTTTCTGTTTTTCTTCTTTTCCCTTTCTCTTTGATTTAAATCATCTCTTTTCTCGAAAAATTCAAATTATCTTATTCCCCCCCCTCTCCCTTCTCATTTTCTGATTTATTTTATTTTTTATTTTTATTTATTTTGAAAATTCGAATTTCTTTGCGGCACCCTTAAATCTGACTAAGAGTTGGTCTTTCTTGCTTTCGGCACACATTTTGATCCCGTGGGGGTAACGAAGTGCTGCCGAAATTTTCTATTTTTCTTTCACTTTGTCTTTTTCGGCACACTTCGACCCCATGGGGGTAACGAAATGCTGCCGAAAATTTTGAAAAATCAGATACTTCATTTCTCTCCACCTCCGTATCCACTTAATTACTTATTTATTTATTTATTTATTTATTTATTATTTATTTTTTTTTAAAAAATTTTAATTTGCGGTATTTTGAAACCAAGTGTGCTTATCTTGGTCTCTCCTTTCCCCTTGGCATATTCTTGACCCCATGGGGGGTAGGGAAATGCTGCCAAAATTATAAAAAAATAAATATTATTTCTCTCTTCATATTTTGTTTCCTTATTTCTTTAATTACGTTTATTATTTATTTATTTTCTTATTTATTTTTATTTTTCTCTCGAAATTTCGCTGTTTATTTATTTTTCCTCCCACCTTCCCCCCCTATGCTTACTATTCTATTTTCTTGATTAGGTCACCGGTACCCTACTCTAACCATTCAAACTCCGGTTAGGGTTTTCTTAGGGGTTTTCTAGGGTTTAGGGTTTTCCTAACCCCCCTACCTTCCCTTCTCATTCGGCCACCCTGGATCCGAACCACCTCTCCCCCTTTGACGGCGCCCGCGCTCGATTTACTAGCGCCCCCCGTCGACTTCTATCGCAGACCTCCCCCTACGCCCTCCGCTCACGCGGACCTCCTCCGACCCTCTCTAATCCAGCCCGTTACCTCCCCATGGCCGACGGCGTGTCACAAGCCGCCGAGGCGGCGACGACCTTGACCTCAACATTGGGCGCTAAGGCAAGTGGTTCGCACTGTTCACCTCCCGACAGGTGGGACACTCTGCGACGTAATCCTTCACAAAGTCCTTGCGCTTTGGCGAAACGTACAGGCGGCTCACAAGAGCCAACGTCTTGTGGAAGCCCATATGACCGGCGGTTGCCTGGTCATGGAACTCTGCTACTGCCCGGACACATAGTTGTCCAGTGGAGGGAACACAAATACGGGGCTCTTTGGTGCCCTGTGAACCGTGCCAGTACACAAGACCGTTATCCCCGAGAGAGTAGTTCGGGACGGTCTTGCCACTCTGAAGGGTCGCATGGATATCGCGATAGTCGGGGCAGTGGCGGTACTGAGTGCGAAACTCGTCGATCACCGAGGTGTGGACGGTGGTGATCGAAATGGAAGCGAGCTGGATCTGCTCCTGATCGTGGTCAGGGCGCCGGGATAAGGCATCTACGACCCGATTAGTCACACCCTTGATGAGCTCAGTGGTGAAACTAAACTCGGATACTAGGTCGCGCCACTAGCGAGCCTGTCGAGGAGTGAGCTTCGGCTTCGTCGGAAAAGCCTGGACAACAGAGTTGTCCGTGCGCACCGTGAATGGTGCCCCGTGCTGGTACTGACGGCAGTGCCAAGCGGCATAAACTACTACGAAAACCTCCTCTATCCCGCGTCGCGGCGAAAAAGCAAACAAAATTGAACACATGACTTCATGGGGCACTGGCTATCCAAGCAACTACCACATGGGACTGATTTTCTCTGGGCCCATGGGAGCGTCTTTCAAGACCCACTTCTTCCTTCTACCTAATACTTAAAGGAAAAAGCGGTCCTTGGAAGACGCTCCCTCCGGGCCCAACAAAAATGAGGCCCGCACGCCGTTGGGACGGTACACGAGATGCCCCGCAAAATTCAATGGCCGCACCGGGGTCGAGGTTGTCTGCGGGTGTCCCATTTTTTTTTTCTGGAGGCCGCTGGAAGTCTTTTTGCCCAGTGGCCACAGTAAGTTTGTTTGCCCTGTGGCCGTGGGGTCGAGGCTGTCTGCCGTTGCGTTTCGTGGGCTGCGGGTGTCCCCTTTTTTTTTGCTGTTTGAGTATAAGTACATAGCAGCCTCGCCTGCTGCAGGCCCAAAAACAGACCAACCTCCTTTTTCTACACCCCTATTTCCTTAACATCTTTAAGGCAATAGCGGGTCTCAGGTAACGCTCCCGGGAGAACCCGCTCGCCAGTGTTGGGAAACGCGGCGGAACCGGAAGGCGGCCCTAACAGACACCGTGTGAGATCGTCGAGGCCGGTTGAACCGGTGACTGCCGTTGTGATAGTCAAGCGGGCCCGGGTAGAACTGCCAGATAGAAGTTTTTTCCCGAAACTTTTATCTGACCGTCCAACCTGGGTCCGCGCGGCAATCACATCGACGGTGGTGCCTCAATGCTTCGTGATGTTTCGGTGCGTTGCATGCGGTGTTCGCTTGGGACTATCTGGCCATCCAACCTGCCTCCGCACGACAATCCCACGGCGGAGCCGCTTCGTGATATTTCGGTTCGTTGTGCTCGGTTCGACGAGAGATCGCTGTATTCGGTTCGACGAGAGAGAGAGGGAGACACGGAGAGAGTGAGAGGGAGAGAGAGGGAGATAGAGATTGGAAAGAGAGAGAGAGAGAGAGAGAGAGAGAGAGAGAGAGAGAGAGAGAGAGAGAGAGAGAGAGAGA